TGCAAAAAAATTATTTAATTCATTAGCAACAACTTCGCTGTCCTTTGAAAAAGTCGTCTTTGATTGAGATTTTTTTGGAATGCAACCACGAATTGCCTTCCACATGGTGTTACTATTATTCTTGTTGTCTTGAATTTGCAGTGAAAAGAACTCTTTTTCCGCCATTCGGAATTCTCTCTTAACTTCGCGGCGGAAATTTTTGTATGCGGACCAAGCAAGAGGATCTTTTTTTCGCTTGAATTTACGTTTCCAGTTATCTCTAGTAGCCATAAGCTCGCGGATTTCGTCTGTAATATAAGGTTTGGCTTCCCCTTTATGCGAAAGGTTTTCACAGGCGCGTGTTCATCCAAAATTTGATTAAACAAAGAGTTAAAGATGTTCAATTTATCATCCGGATCGTCGAAAATATCCACAACTAACCATGGTGCAAAACTAACTTCTTTTGCAATTTTTTCTTTAGAATATTCTTTAAAGCTCCTCTTCGTGACGAATGCTGCTGATTTACGTTCCCTTTTTATTCTCAGAGTAACGTAAACAAGGTCGTGGTCGCTTATCGAAGAGGGAAGTACGCTCGATTTACTAACATTCTTGGAGTTTGAGGCCATGATAACGTCAATCAGGGACATTATTGACTCTGTAGTGCGAGTTGCACTTGAGATGAGCTGTTCCAGGTTGTAGGTAGAACAGAAGCTTGAACAGATGCTTGAGATTCGGGTGGATCAGGTTGTAATATCTCCAAGAATGTAAATTGGCTTATTTAACAGCAAAGCGGAGATCAAACTTGTACCCAAATCGGCTTCAAGGCATGCTACCAGAATGACTTAAAATTTCGCAATTGAATTTTCATCCAAAGTTGATACAGACCGTTGCTTGATACTCCAGAGATTTCACGTAGAATTTCAGTTTTAAGACATTGTTTAACGTAAGCACCCACACCGCCGCCTGGTTGGTTTTGTCGGTCCACTCTGAAAATATCATATCCAGGAATTTCAATTTCCAAATTAATTACAGAAGAGCCTAACCAGGATTGGGAAATGGTGAAAACGTCGAAGTCATTCGAGAGAACGGTATCTTTCACTTGAATGAAGTGTTCTCTTCGCTCAAGTGACCGTACATTGAGGTGAGCGATCTTGATGTTGTCCTTCCTTGAACATTGTCCAGGACCAGGATTTAA